ACAAGTGGACACATGGCTAAGCAAAGCACCTAAACACTGGTTCCTGAATTTTCGTTTTCATCCAACGCCCTTTGGAATTGAGGCGAGTCATAAGGACTAAAATATGTCGCAGCTCCTAAAACTAGATAAGCCATGAGATAAAAATTCCCAACCAATTATACTGCCTCTCCCCTTTTACCGTGAAAACACCGCAGATATGACATGCTCAAACGGTAGACAACATAATCGAGATATCTAGTGAAACATCCTCCACGGAAACAGAGTTAAGATACCTTAAGACCCAAATGTTTGATATCGAATCCGTCATAAGACAGCTAACAATAGTAATGTACATTCCGAAACCACTCAAAACTCAGTACACTGAACCCTTGGATAGAGCCAGTAACTTCATAGCTATTGTTAGCACAGGAACACATGAAAGATTTGTATGTTCTAAGTTGCCATGTTTAATATCCCTGACCGGTACCCGACTGATAAATTACAGCGCACACTTCTATCGGCTACTTCCTTAGGTGGCGCAGACTTTGCTGCTGTTATTCTTCGGAAAATTGCACGCACGAACACTTGTCCGCGCTTACTGAGGTTCAACATTCACGAGATTGCCCGCTCGTTTATTACTAACGAAAATCATATAGTAATAAATAATGAATTTCAATATGCATTGATTATAGCTAAGAGAACTCCAATAGAAAGAGAGGTCCAAAAAAGAGAAATGTTTCGACAATTCTTGCTACCATGAAGTTTGAGCAGTCACCTTTAAAAAGCTATGTTTGTAAGGAACTTTAACCTAGGATGTTGATCTCTATGTCACGAAGGCATCGAATTCACTTTAGGCAGTGGAGGAGATTCCTTGTGCACCCAAGTTTGAATATATTGTAGTCTAATACGAATATATGTTCAAACCTGTAACGCATGTTAACAGGTTAAACATAGGACCGCCGCCTACGCCATAGACCCCAACGCCCCCAGAGCCCACCCAGCCCCAGATAGACCCGCGAGCCGCTGCTACACCGTCCCCGTAAACCGAAGACAACACACCTATGGACTAAACAAAAAACCACCAAAACATCCCCGAATACGCCCAGAAATAATAGTTATGGAACACGGAGGGGCTGGCTACCCCGCTAGCACGCTAACCAGTGAAGCGGACAAGGCAAGCAGACCCAAGTTCCACTGTTCTCGCGTCCTATCATCTTCCGAAATACATTGTTGGGTTCAATCGGGGCCGCGACAAATCATGTGCTTTACAAAACCCTAGCTAATCGCAGCACCTCTAGGATACCTCAAGATCCCAAGCAAGTTTTCAAACGCTCACCTATACCAACGTGCAGCGAGAATAATATAATAGATAAGAAGATCCGGAACCACCTCTCCAAAGATTTTTCAAACAGATTTAAACAGTTGAACAGCTAACTTCGAGACAGGAGGAGGGAAGGGGCTTTGCTAGTCTGTGCTCTCTTTACTCGGTCACACCAACAAAAAGAAATTTATTCAAGACACCCTCCTGAGTTCTGCAGGAGCTTGGCACCAGACGCTTTACTAATTACTAACTACCTCGCCTTTATCAATTTTCTCCTCCACTTATTCCTCTAAAGAATAAATCCTAGTGATTTACCTTCTTTATTTCCGAATAATATGATCGCATCCAACGGCTCCCGAGGACTCATGTACATCTTTAGATGACGTCTAGCACCTTTATATCACCGCAAGAGGGTCGCACCAACAGCAAGAGTGATTTGAGCGGGGCAAAAAAACAATAACCAAGCCGAACTGGCAGATTGTTTGACTTAAGTGACATAAAAACTAGACTTTTCTGTTGTGGACTTGCAACACCACGCAGAAGCGCGGTAGAACAAAACAGAGGCATACGAACACGCATCCGGGGTGCTCACACCGAAGGGTAGGCACCTCGACGACCGGCAGCGTCTCACCTGAGACCGGAGGACGTACCGGCAACTTGAGCGGCAGGCACACCATACGGCAACACCTGGATCCCTCACTACCCTACCACGGGATCACGCCACCGTACGACGTGCCAAGAGCACCGCGTGCACCGTCGCTAACCGTCACGAGTGGCACAATGGGGCCAGCACCTCAGCAAACCGCAGACCGCCTACTGAGGCAACCTCACCGGGCCGTCCAACGCTACGCGAAACTCGGCCAGACCTACGCGTTCGCAGGAAGCGAGTGACCGGGGTTAAGGGCTCTAGGCCGACTACGGACCCGACCTGGAACGCCTAGACGGCGGGCCCCAAGTGGGCGGTCCCACCCGAAATACGGCGCGCCAGGCAGGCTATTAAACAGACAAACAAAATTACGTATATATAATTTAAAACTGTTTAACAAAACTTACAAATAAGCTTTAAAAGAACAAAAAAGCATTTACAAAAAAAAAAAAATTACAAGAAAATAATTATTATTAAAATTTAATTGAAGAAAAAAAACAGAACAACTACATTTAAGGATAATGAAACAAAAATAAAACACCATAAAAAAACAATTAAATAAAAAAAAAAAGAATAAAGATTATAAAAATAAAATAAACCCGATACAAAAATTACACTACTACAAACGACGATAATACTTAACAATATACAAACTAAACAGCTCGACCTCAGTTAATTAAACACCTTAAACGAACACCAATAAGAATTAACACGAACACGCAACAAAGAAAAAATTATATACCACACAGCTCGTACACTAAATAGATCATTAGCTAAAACAACACCCAAAAACAAAAGTATTAACAAAACTAAACACATAAACCCACTGACCTTAAAACACACTAAAATTAAAACACCAATTTAACCTTACATTACAGAAAACTACCCAGAATAATTAGAATTATCAAATAAAACATTGTAATACCGTAGGAGAAAAAGATTAAGAAAGCGCATTAAAGCGTCGAAAAAAACACAAGTAATTAAGATCAAATGAAAACGACACACAAAAACAACAAACAAGACGAACCGATCTTAAGAAACACGCCGCCAGACCAAAAACATAGGTAGCAGAGGCCGCCAGTCGTGTGGGCCCGAGACGGAGCCGGGACCCCCCGCGGCGAGGGGAGGGGAAAAGCCGGAGATCCGCCAACGCTCACCGTCGGCGCGCGAGTAGGTTGCGGCGGTTTATCATTGAATGTGCTTGATATGCATTGTTCTTCGCCGCATTTGTATCGCCTACGACAAGACCGTTAGTTTGTTCTTGTCTATGCTTGCGATTCTGTCCTTTCCCTGAAACGAAAACGCTGGGACGAAACAACTTGAATGTGCAGAGGTGGTTGGACGGGAGCCGCCGGCAACTAGGGATTCGGGGGGAGGGCCCGGGGAACGGGCGCGACGGCGAGGAGGACGGCGGGGTGACGCGGCAGCCGCGAGACGCGGAGGCGGCGGGAAGGGGCGATCGCTGTGGGCGCAAGCCGCGGGGAGGCGCGGCGTCGGCTGGTTGGGTGGGGTCGCGTATACGACTCAGCGGGGTGCCGAGATCCGGATATCCGCGGACGGCGAGGCGCGCCGGAGCGCACGGCTGTCCGGGCAGCCTCGCGACACGAGATGGGCGCGCGGGAAAGCGAAAGAGGCCCGCACCGCCCCGGTGGTGCAGAGGGCCGGCGGCGAGCGCATCAGACGCGCAAGAGCAGGGGCGCGGGGCTGGCCTGTGCGATGACCGGGCGAGAGGACAGGCGGGCAGGACGCAGCGAACTGAGGAGAAGACAGGGTGGGGGCAAAAGAAATTCGGCTTCAAGGGGAGGGGGGGGTGGGTGGGGGTGGGGGCACACAGCAAAAGCATATCCCAATCTATAATGTTGTGGTGATCTATGGAGGTATGTCGGGGTGTGTGTGCTGTAGGGGGGGGGGGGCGGGGGGCTGGGGCGCGAGACCAGCGTGACCGCGCGCGCTGGATCTCGAGGAGGCTCGCGCCCCGCGGTAGGGCAGCCGAGGCCTGCGCGGGGCCGGGACGACCGCCACGGACCAGGAGGCGGGCGCGTATCGCGACGCGGGCACAGACACGCGGCCGCCGAGGGCGGAAAGCGGGTGGACCCCGCGCAAGACGGCGGCGCGCGCAGCCTGGGGAAAGCGGGGGGGGGTTCGCGCCGCACCGGAACTTGGCCCCCCGCAGTGACGACGCGCGCCCGCTAGGGGCGAGGGCATCGCAGGAGCCCTTGGCGCGGTGTGGGGCGCGGGCCCGAGCGACCGGGAAGAGGCTCGCAGGCAGGCCGCGACGCAGGGCGCGCGTCGCTCGGTGGCAGCCGCAGCCGCGCCCAGTGGAGGAACGGGCCCAGTCGCGCGCGCGGGCGGGCGGTCGCGGAAGCCGAGTGGGCAAGCTGGCCGGCGGCGTGGACACAGGACCACGACGGCGGATCGCTGGGACGCGACGGGCAGTCCAGGCGGCGGGAGTTGCGGGCGCGCCCGTGAACGGGGCCCAGCGAGCGGCCGCGTCGGGCCGCGGAGCCTGCACCTGCGGCCGCCAGGTACGCACCGACCCCGACGCCACGGCCCTCGCGTCCTCAGGCCCGAGCTGGAGGCGAGCCGGGTGCAGGAGTCGCGGCTGCGGGGGCCGCCGACAGAAGCTGCCGCCTATTGACAACGGCGATGGGCCGATAGCTTACGCAGTGAGTGCGGCCCCCGCGGCGTAGAACGCTCGCGAGCGCGGGCTCGGGAGGCGCCGGGATAGAACGCGGTGGTTCCCGCGCGGCGGCCGCGAGTCTAGATCGCGGAGAGAAGGTGACGGTCGCCCGGGAGCGCGCGGCCAGTCGCGCCAGGCTCGCGGAGGCGGGAGCTGGCGCCTTTCGCCGTCGCGATCGCAGGGTGGAGGCCCCGTCGCGTGGCGGAGGCACCGCGCCGAATGCGGAATTCGCGCCGCGAGTCGCGACTGATGGCAACGGCAGAGAACCGTCCGCGTCAGCCACGGGCCGGGCTGATCCAGACGGCCCGATGCTGCTGGTGGCCGGAGTGCGAGTCGCCCGCGCCGGAGGGGCGTCGCGCCGACGACCTGCAGGATCGCACGGGGGGGCCGCGGACCGACGATCGCCGGGGTCGCGCGCGGTAGGCCTGGAGCGCGACACGCCGGTACAGCGCGGCGTGAACGAGAGCCCCCGGGGAGTGGGCCCCGGGCGGTGAGTCGCGGGGGGACAAAGAGGCGTGACGCGCAGAGGCAGTTTCCCCCGCCAGGCCACTGCGCAAATCGCGGCAGGGGGCGCGGCCGGCTCCTCGCCGGTGGGGGCGTACGCGGGGATCCGCCCGGCGCGTGGGCCGGGGCGTCGCGGCGCCCGCCGCGGCGGGCCCGTCGCGCTGCGTGCGGAACGGACCCACGCTGGGCGTCGCGGCGCTCGCGCGCTAGGCCAGGGTCGCCCCGGCAGACTCCCACCGGGCCCCGGGCCCGACGGCGCGCGGAGCGCCGGCTCGAAGGTAGAAGGACGCTCGGGCCGACGTCGCTGATGCAACGGCGCGAAGCTAGGCACGCTGTATCCGCGGGTACCGTCCAACAGCCCAGGGCGTGGCCCCAATGATCGGATCGCGGGACCGCGTCGCCGGAGCGTCGCATGCGCCCGCCGGGCGGCCGGGCTGGCGCCGCGGGGCGCTCCGCACGGGCCGGATCGCGGCGAAGCAAGACACCGGTCGCGCGCCCGCCGTAAGCGGCGCCGCTCGCGCTGCACGGGCCCTGGGCGCGGCTACGTCCGTCCAAAGCGCGATGAAGGCAGGGTCGGCGCGCGAGGTCGCACGCGCCGCTCGCGGTGGGGTCGCGGCGGGGGGGAGGCACCCCAGGCGTAAACACTACACTGACCGTGGCGTGACGCCGGTGGGGGTCGCTCGCGGCGAGGGACCGCCCGGGATTACGGCTCGGGATGGCGTTCCCGCGCCGCCGCGGGGCAAGGCTAGCGGCCGGGCGTCCCGCCGCGACGGGCCCTCTGGGAGGCGCCTGCGCCCCAACCGCGGCGCGAGCTCTGGCCGTGATTTGCCGGAGGGGCCGTCGCAGCTGGGGCGCGGGTGGCCAACCGCGGGCTGGGAGATGTGGCCAGGCTGGAGCCCTCCTAGTGGTGAGGCGCGCCCCCGGTGGTCTGCGACCCATCGCGCGGGCGTCGCGAGCTATGGAAGGCCGCGGCAATCGCGTCGCTTGCCAGGTAGGGGCCCAGGGGCCCGGCTCGCGAGCCTGGCCAGGGGGAGCTTAGTATCGTGTCGCGCGTGCTTCGTAGCGCGGGGCCGCGGACGCGCCGCCGGGGGCGCGGGCGCCACGGCTCGCGAAGGCCGCGGAGTTCACCACCGAAAGACGAGACGCGGGAGTCGACCCTGGCAGCCGACGTCGGTCGCGGCGCAGGGGAGAGAAGGGGCGCGCAAAGCCGGGAGTGCAGTGACCCAGCGCCGACGGCCGCCACGCGCGACGCCGCTCGCGCGCGGCGGAGCGACGCATGGGCGGGGGGGCCGGCGACACACCCCATGGAGGGTGGACGTCCAGATGCGGTGAACCACGCGCGGCCCTGCGGGAGCGGCCGGGACCGGGAACGAGGCGGGTCGCGCTCTAAACGGAGGCCCAGGGCCGCGAGCCGACACACGAGAGTGGCGCGCCCCCCGGCGCGCGGAGGAGGGACGGCGCGAAGGAAGGTAGCCAAATCCGCGCGGGACGGAGCTCGCGCGGCGCGGCCCCAAGTCCTACAGAGGCCTCAGCGCGGCCCGACCGAGGTCCCGCGATGGACGTCGGCCGCGATCGCGTGAGCGGACGCGAGGCCACGTCGAGGTGTCACTCTGTGTCTCACCACGCGGCAAGCTCGACGGCGCCCGCCCGCGACTGTCCGCCGAGGCCCGCGGCGGTCGCCGACCCGCGGCTCCGGCGGGTGCGCGCCCAGTAGCACGCACCCCAGGATCGCGAGCTGCTGGGCGCGGGGCGCGCGAAGGCGAACCTGCGCGCCGCCCTATCGCCGTCGTATCGCAGGTCGCGCGAGCGTCGCGCCCGCTGGCCCAGACCGCGCCCGGACGCGGAACCGGAGTCGCAAGCCGAACAGCGCGCACCCCGGCCGCGGGCCAACCCGCGCTCGAGGCACTAGCGCGCCGCGGGGGAAGAAGCGGGCACGCGAGCAGTCCCCGCAGCGAAGGTCGCTCCCAGCGGGCTGGGTCGCGGGGGACGCGGCCACTCCAGCCGGACCCGCGGGGCGGGCAGCCCCCAGCGACCCCCGCAGACTGGGCCACCCCGAGCGCCCGGCGCCGCGCGCGAGCAGAAAGGGCTCCCCGAGCGCAAGAGATTCGCGTGAGGGGCAGGATGAGCGGCAGCCGGTACTAGGCGCCGCGGCGACATACCAGGGGACCCTCGAAATCGCGCGGCCATCTACCGAGCAGCGGTGGGCGGCCTCTTCGCCGGCCGGTGGGAGCCGATTGGTCGCGCGGCGGATGCGCACGCGTCCGATGGGCGGCGCTCTGCGCGGGCCCTAGCCGCGGCCAAGGCCCGCGTCCGAACTGCCGCACGGGTCTGCCGCCGGCGGGGTCGCGCTGACATGCTGCGGCGCACGCGCCTCCTAGCGATGGCCGGTTGGGAGGGCAGGGGAGGTTGGCCGAGTCGCGCGGACAGCCGGCACGGTGCCCGCGGGGGGCTCTCAGCGAGGTCGCCGGCCGGGACGGTGCAGGCGGACGCGGAGCGGCGGATGGCAGGGCGGAGCCGCGCCGTCGGCGCCGAGGGGCGACCGTCAGAGGCGAAGCCGGGACGGCCGGCGCACGGGGCGGACCAACGGTCAGGGCAAGAGGGGTGGAACGGCGTCGCGGGCTGTCTTCTGACCGCGCGCGCGCAACGCGCCGGTGTACAGCGGGCGAAGACAGCCACGATGCCGCGCGGCATATCGCGCGGAGCCCGCCATATTGTTCTCGCCGCCCGGCAGACGCGTCGCGGGCGCCGCGCAAACGTCTGCCAACCACGCAAGCGAGAGTTGGGGTCGCGTGAACGCACGGAACGATAAGCCGGAACGCGCGCCCGGGCCAACCGAGCACCGCCGCGGCGCGCGACCGGCCAGCGGGACCGCCGCATTTCACGGCGACGCTCGCGAATCGCGGCCCCCGGATGGAGGGACCGGGCACCCGCGCTGGACCTGGCCCCAGGCAGGGCTCAGCGTTGCGCGGCACACGCGGCAGGCTCGCGGGCGCACGTCCACGAACGTATGGATCCGCGTGTGGCGCCCAGGGCAGGCGGGGTGGGCCGCCGCGGGTGGGCACCATCGCAGGAATGCCCTAAGGCGGGGGGCGCACACGGACGGGGGGCGCGCCGTACCCGACGCCGCGATACGTTTGGCGATGGAGGGCGCCGGACGAGAAGATCGCGTCCCCTGCCAGTTTCGACGCCCCGCGCCGGCACCGGAACAACCGGGCGAGAGGGCGCGACGCCCGGGGGCTGCCGACGCGAGAACTGACCAGTCGCGCGGGCGCCGGCGCGACGAGGGCAAACGGGGGGCCGCCCGCGCCTGCGGCGGGGCGGCTGGGCTAGACCGAGAGCAACATGCCTCGGCGAGGGCCCCCGCGAGGACGCGGTGCGGTCGGGTGGCTACCGCGCGGGCCGCGAGGCCCGCAGCGGCCGGATCTTCGCGGGCAACCCATGGAAGAATCGCCGTCCAGCCACCACTCGGCGCGCGCGACTTCCGGCATCCAACTGCCGACCTCAGGCCCGCGGGAAGCTACGTGCGGCAGGGGTGCGGGAACACGCTGAGACTCGCGGCTGGCGAGCGGACCGGCGAGACGGCCGCCGCGCTCGCTGGAGCGCATACGCGACCCCACACGGGGGCGCCGCGGGCCATCAAAAGCGCGGACGCGCAGTCGGAGATAGCGCGAGGGTGCCGCGGCCGACCGCGAAGCACGGACAGGCGACGAGGTCCCGGCGTGTCGGGGTGGCAGGCCCAGCACGCCGGCCAGGCCCGAAGCGGGCGCCCGCCGCAGAAGCCTGGCCACGTGCTACGGGCCGTCACCCGCTTGGGGCGGGGGGGCCGAAAGCAGGCCCGGTCGCCGACCTTGCCGCCCTGTTTACAGACGGGCTCGAGCCGCCGGAAGACCAGTCGCGCTCGCCGCAATCGCGTAGCTCGGGCCGGCACGCGGCGCAGAGGGAGTCGCGAGCGTGGGCGAGGGCCGGGGCGGGGGAGGCGTGACGCCCCGCGGTCGCGAAACCGGCGCCGGCAGTGGGTGAGTCCCGCGCAGCCGGGGCGTTGGAAGCCGCGGGCGCCGGCCAACACAAGATCGCGAGCCGGTAAGACGAACGGGCCCGGGCGGCGCGTGACTTGGCTAACGTCCGCGCCGCGGCAAAGCAGCAGCACACCCCCGCCTCGCTCGCAAAGCCTGGCAAGCGCGAAGGTCGAAACCGATCCCCGCGCGGACGGGGACGACGGGGCTCCGCCGGGGGGCGCTGCAGCGTCCGGGGGCGGCGCTGGCCGCCAGGGGGGCGCTGGCTGGCGTATCAGCCGGCGAGAATCGCGTGGAGACGGCCAGGGGCACGGTCGGTCACGACCCCTAGGCACCCCAAAGTACGTGCGTCGGCGGCGCCGCCTCCCGCGGGACGCCCGCGAGGCGGCTAGGACGGGGGTATCAGCTGTACCCCGCGCGCGGCGTATCAGCGCAACGCCCGCGCTACGTTGAGCTTAGCGGCAGTGCGTCGCCGAACGCTGCCGGCTTGCCGTGGCCGAGGCGCCGAGCCCGCGGCCACGGTGGGCGGTGCCAACCGAGTCGTGCACCCCAAGGGTCGCGTCGCACGAACAATCAGGGCGCGATGCACAGGCCGCGATTCGCGCCTCGCGGCCGACGTCGCGCGAACGGGCTGGAGCCGCGACCCTCCCGCATGCGCACAAGACCCGCACGTTGGCGCGCGGAGGCGCGGGGACCCCGGCGGGGCGCGACACCCCGCGACGCACCGCACCGCGCTTATCGCCAGCGCGGGTGGAGTCCGGGCGTCTGGCGCGCGGCACGTGATTCGTTATCGCGGGGTGTGGGGACCCGGACTATACTCCAATGCAGGCTCCAGACGCACGGCCGCGCGGCGCGCCGTCCGTCGCGCGACGCGGGCACCATCCTGGCCCCACTGGCGCGCGGCCGAGTCCAAAATCGCTGGACTATCGCTCGAAACGCCGTGGGAACGCTAGCGGTCGCAATTCGCGTGCAGGTGCGATCGCGGGGGAGCGCCCGACCACGGCGGCGAGCGCCGGGTGTCATCGGTGCGGGAGATTGCGCGGCGCCGCGTGAGCTAGCGATCCGCTGCTGGCGTGCGCGGCGTACGGAGGGCCCGGCGGGTGGACCCTGGGCCACGGCGGGCAGGCCGCGCGTCACGCGCGCACCGCTCGGCCATCGCGCGCGCTCGCCGCCAGAAACGGCCACGGGAGGGAGGCGCGCGGGGCGTGGCCAAGCGCACTCGCCGTCCAGCCTGCGAGCGCGCGCACCGGCGGCGCCCGGGAGCGGAGCGACCGAGGGACCCTAAAGCGGGTGCGTAAGGGCGTCGCGGTCACGGAACCGCAGTCCAAAGCAAGCGGGTCGCGGGTCGGTGCGGCCGCAGGAACGCGGCGACGGGCGGGGGTCGCGCTGGCCGCCGCCAGGACGTGCCGGGCCAGTGCAAGGGACGGGGAGGAGGGAGGCCGGCACGACTGCAAGGCGGACGCTGCGCGCACGCCGGTGCGCCGACAGGAGACGCGGGCGACACGCGCCGACGTCGCGGACGGTGAACCGGGCCCCGATCGCGGGACTCCTAGGCTCCTAGGGAGCAGCAGGCGGGACCCGGCCCCTCCGTCGCGGGGCCCCTGGCATCAACCGGCCATGAAGGGGGGATGCCGCCCGCCGCGGGTAAACTCGGCGAAGGCCCCGGCCATGACCCCGGGGGGCTACGGGACCCGGGAGCTTTATCGCCCCAGCCCCAGGTGGGCGAGCCCCGCGCGCGGGTAACGCGCGCCGAAACGGCGACGGACCGTCAGACGATCGCGTCATGCGCTGCGCGGCAAGTATCGCGGGGGCGGTCCAGGGCGCGCGGGCGGTTGATGGGGTGAGCACCCCAACACCCCCCGCCGGGCGCCATACGCCGGCAGGGGGGCCACCGTGGCGCGGAACGCCGCGCGGCAGACCCTCGCGAGGCCGGCGGATGGGAAAGGCAAACCTGCTGGGCGCGCCGCAGCCGGCCGGCACTGTGGCGGAGGGACAGGCCGGGGCGCGTCGAGCCGGGGCGCCCGCGGGGATCCAACGCCGCGAGGGCCCTGGACGCGCCCCGTAGCCATCCGTCCCTATCGCGCCCCGGGCGCAACGACCCTCCGCGAACCGCGGGACGCAATACGGAGGCTCGCGGCGGTCGCGACGGCCCACGCAGCGGATATGATTGTCGCGCACCAGGTCCCGGGGGCCGCGACAAGATCACGGCGCGGCATAGACGTGAGCTTAAGCTGCGCGTCGCTGCGCGAGGTGCCGGCCCCGCGGCAGGCCAGGACCGGCGCGAGGACGACCACGCGGGCGCATCGGCGATCGCAGTCCGCGGGAGAAAAGTCCGCGGAGGCGGCCCGGTTCAGACCCGAGCCCGCCATGCGGCGAGTCGCGGGACGCACATGGAAACACGGCGGGACGGGGGCGAGCCAGGGCAAACCACGCCGGGGCGGGCACCTCACGTCGGCCTGGCTTGTCCCCGGCACCGCGGGGGTGACGCGGGCCGCCGGCTGGCTCGGGGGCCATGAGGCGTTATCCAGGGCGCCTCCGCGCGTGGAGGCCCAGCGACCGGCGAGACGGTGCAAGCACGGTGCAGCTCCGCGCTATCGCGCGCGCCGGTCGCGGCCGGCCGACCGCGCCCGGGGACGCTAAGAGGGGACAGTCTGGGGATCGCGTCACCCCAGGCCCTGGGCCGGGGGAGCGAGCCTGGGATGTACCCGGACGAGGAAGGCCCAGACGCGCACCGGGCTGGCTAGACTCGCCGGAGGAAGTAGTGAGCGCCCACTGGGGCAACGCCGGCACAATGCGGCGGATCGGCTTGAAAGCGAATCACGAACCCAGGGTGGGACCGCGTGCGCATCGCTGACGGGCACAATAGTTGAGGATGTTCTCACCTCTGGGCTAACATGTTTAAGGATTACTAATGATATGCTGGGATCGCGAAGCCTAGTGGCCCTCCGTCTGCTTCGGAAATGAAAACCATTGTCCACTATTGAAATACTCACAAGCTCTTTTAACACAAGCCTAGCGGCCATAAGAAGTCTAATGTCAGTGAGACTATTTGCGAGGTGGTTGCGTCACCAAGCACTAACTTGCAAATGCAGATGGCGTTATTATTATTATTATTATTATTATTATTATTATTATTATCATGGAGACTTATGTCAGGTCAGTTAGATCCATTACACTTCGGCGCCACGGATAATAGTCAAGAAACTGAACTAATTCTAACTCCTTTTGCTTGTATGCTCAGTATACCCGATTGCCTATCCTAGGTCGTTTTTAATAAATCCACTTAGAGAACCTTTAGTCTATCTTTTGATTATACACTTCAGGCGATTCAAGGCCCATGGCTCAGACAGACTTCCGGGACTGTTCAAGCACGGCGGCGTAGTAGCCACAGACTAATTGACCCTCATTGCTGCTTAAAATCTGGCATGAATCAAAGGGTGTTTTTCAAGGGGATTACCAGTTAATGTTCCGAATTACAACATGAGCCCCCGCATTTCGTGCACTACTTTCCTAGCCCAGATTTCATCTCGATTGTCTCCGAGCTCGGTTCATTCTGTTCTGTACGTTGTCCTTTTGGGTTATGCTTTGCTCTATCAAAATCCAAAGTCTTCCAAGATTGGCAGGGACCAACACCCCCGCGCTAACGGCTTGGTGGTGATCAGCTAGAAGTCGTTCAGGAATTGAAGTACCTGGGGCATCTATATTAGGCGCCCGTGGGATCGAAAATGAGGTTACGAACCGTACAGCTAAAGCTCGAGGCGCTTTTGCTAAGCTCCGCAACCTGTGGCGCAGATGCGACATTACTCTCAGCCCTGAAGGGCAGAGTCTATAACGCAGCTGTCGGTTCAACTCACTACATGGTTGGTGAAACCTGGCCCATCAAGTCGACAGACATAAAGAGGCTCGTCACATTCGATCATCGCTGCCTTCGCAGCTTAGCTCATGTCTGGTGGGAGCACCGCGTGAGCAATGAGCGTGTTCGGCGTCGCGTATTTGGTGCAGGAAGAGCGAGTGAACCGCTCAGCACCATTATATCACGCACCAGGCTCCGATGGCTGGGCCACGTGTTGCGCATGCCAGCACACCGACTCCCGCGACGTGCATTGTTTGCGCGCCGGGGTGCGGTTGGAAGAGGAGGAGGGAGGCCAAGCGATGACTTGGTCGAGAGGAATGAAAACCCTCACTTCGAAGTTGGCGTCGGTTGGTGCATCCCGACTGCCTGGCTGGGGTCCTAAGGACGATGAACACGTTTGGTTGGACACACTTGCTGATATGGCTTGGAGCCGGCCCCAATGGCGTTTGTGTTTTGAGTTTCTTTGTCCATCCCCTTCCTTTAGATTCCCCTTCGTATCCCGATCTCATACAAACACGTACTGAAATATCTAGCGTCATATTACTGGTCTGGCATCTTTTCTGTAATGTAATTTTTACTTTCTTTTTTATTGCGGCACATTGGCTGAGGTGTGTTTCTCACCATCAGCTAACGTATATTGATGATGATGATGTACGTCGTCCCGTATTCGCAGGTCACACAATTGCAATGAACGGACTGAATTCCATTCCGGTCGAATGTGTTGATCAACCATTTACACCCCCACTAGGTTTTCGAACAATGCTACTTTTACCATACGCCCGCCATCGTCGCAATTTTAATCATCTGGGCTAACTTCCTGTCGGTTGCTCGACCTATCAGGAGTTGCTTTCTGAGTAACGGAGTCTCAAAATACCATACCGCCATCCTACTAGTACTATACCTTCACTGTCAATAAGAAGGTTCGACGGACTGCTTTATGTCCCTGTCTGTTTTCAGCTTTGCGATTAATGGCTTTAAAACCTATCCAAAGCTGTCTTGGACCCGCTAAGTTGTGGACAACGTCCTTACGAATAACGATCCGAAGAGTATACAAAGCACCTAGGCACGGTGTGTGCTGCACTACATCGGCTTTTTGCTTCAGGCGCCTAGCCACAGGTCGCAGATTCTATCCTGCATGTATGTGCGCAACCTCGCTGTATACTCAGCCAGCACGCGGCTGCTAATAGTCATGTAATAGCGAAACCTTTATGCGAATTATCGG